AAGGCGTTTGTTTACTATTTAGAGTCAAAGATACGTTTGTATTGATAAGAGATTTCGGTTTACAAATAGAGAAATGAGTGGCGGAGTCTCGCGGAGAGCTCGGCCGTACAAGTCGGAAAGAAGCAAAGGAGTAAAAACCCTGGTTCTAGCCGCCTTGAGAGTGAGTCTAATCTCGGATCCCTTTCTCGTTAGCTTCTCTCTCCCTTTTATAGTGGTTACACCTTGACCTAGCAGACTCATTGTGACTCTTGCGGGCTTCCGCCAAATGGGTATTGGTCGGCCCGCTAATTCAAACGCCTTGCCTAAACATCCTTAACTCGATTAATCACGGGGATTAACCGAGCTAAGCTCGACTTACTGCTAATCGCTGGAGAGCTCTCCTGTTGGACCTAAATTCGTTTAGATTGAACACGTTATTGTATGGGTTGCTACCTAAATTCGTTTAGATTGAACCCGTTATTGTATGGGTTTGGCAAGGAAGTGCACACCACCTACATCGTGCGTTATAAACTGAATTCAAATTCGAGAGTGAGTGTGATGCAAAAAGGGGTGGGAGAGAGCATTTTAGAAACCTTCACACAACTTATGTAACACTTGTACTTTCATGGAAGATGATTGATCTCTCAATAGCCAAAAAGGGTCAAAGCTTTTCAATAATGGAGAATAAGGTCACCAAACTTGAACAGTTGTTACAAACAATCAAAACAGAAGACAGAGAGAGAGAAAGAGAGAGAGAGTGTGTGTGTAGAAATAGTCCTCACAACTAACTGATTAAACAGAACAAAACACTTTTTGTCGATCCATCAATGTTAGTCATACATTAGAATTTTTTTTTTTTTTTTACATTTTAAAGTCAAAACCTTCAAGGATTTAGCTGCCTTTTTACTGCACCTATGAACCCGGTTTCTCTTCAGCCTTCTCTGTGATTGAACATTGATTCCGTGGAAACATTTGCAGCCTTACCAAGCAAATGGTTCAAAGACGTGCCTATGCATCTCTCATGCTGATGTTTAGGCTATTTCTCATTGTTCGTCTCCCAACACCAGCATTGCCCTTTTGCATCATGGCAACGAATTCTCCATAGTCAATCCGTCCATCCTGTAACAAGAAAAAAACATAAATTATCAGTATTAAGAGACAAACCATTGTTCAAAACGTGTGAAGAGGCAAAGCTTTACATTGTCTTGATCGACTTCTTTGATTACATCTTCAAGAAAAACATCAGTCATCCCGTGTTCCACGCAAGATTGTTGCAGCTCATCAATGGTGATGTAACCACTTCCATCTTTATCAAAGTACTGAAACGCAGAGACAAGATGCTCTTCTCTGTCTAGTTTATTCAGATGGATCGTCGCTGCAATAAACTCACTGTAATCTATTGTACCACTGTTATCCACATCAGCCTAAGATATAACAACACAACTATAGTCATTATCTGCCTATAATTAGAAATGAAATAAGTATTATATATTCCCTTAATAAAGGATGCATGTTTACCGCTTCCATAAGATCTTGAATCTCAGTGTCTTTCAAAGTAGAACCATATCTTCTCAGTCCAGCTTTGAGTTCATCAAAAGTGATGGCACCGCTGTTATCAGTATCCATTGCCTCAAACATTGCTCTTAAACCCGCAATCTCTTCCTCTGAGAGGCTCTCAGCTATCACCTGATTAACCACAATAAGTAAATATGAGTTAATCTCAAATGAATGTGGAAGATGAAGTTCATGATACAAAGCTCACCTTTAAAGCCATCTTCTTTAATTTATTCATTGCAGAAAACTGTTTGAGACGAGACAGAACAGCAGGATCAAGTGCTCTATCTGGTGCAACTCCGTTCTCACAGATCCATGGATGACCTGAACAAAAGATATATATGGTCTTCTTAGTTCTTATGTTATGTATTTTGCCAAAGCATGTAACCACGTATTGAAAATCAAATGATTACTTACGCAAGACTTCATGAGCGGTCAAACGCTCAGAGGGATTAGAGCATAACATCTTCCTGATCAGATCTTTAGCACTGTCCGATATCACAGGCCACGGATCTGAGTCAAAGTCGATATCTCCTTTCAAGACAGCATCAAATATTCCTTGTTGTGTTTCTGATTCCAGAACAAAACACAAAACCAAACATAAGGAAACCTCGTCTATGGCACTAAGAGAACAAATTTTAAGGGGCTACGCATACCTGCCCAGAAAGGAGGGACACCACTTAGTAGAATATAGAGTATAACACCAGCAGTCCACACATCAGCTTCTGGACCATAATGTTTAAGAAGAACCTCAGGAGCAACATAGTATGGACTTCCAACAACATCCTTGAATATTTGGCCTGAAAAGTAGAGTAACAGAACGCATTTAGGTAAAACAGAAGGAGCACTCTCTAGAGATCAAGAGCATGCACTTAAGCTGCAAAGTTGCAGCCTCTCTTTTGGTGAATAAAAGAAACCCATAATAATGCACTCCCTCTATTTCATAAAAGTGTCATTTTAAGTTTTTTTTTCCAAAAGTGTCATATTCTACATTTCCAATATAATTTTATACTTTAAATCTATTTTTTACCCTTTTCAATAACCAATAGAATTTTTATTTGGATCGTTTTCATTTAATTAAATAAGTATATACAGTTTTTTTATCTCCGTGAAATGTATCAAAGTGACATTTTAAAAAATGAATGGAGTATTGTATACCACAACTATTATACAGTTTTCTTAATCTCCGCGAAATGTATAAAAGTGACAATTGCATACCACAACACCCACCATGGTAATTTGAATAGGTTCAGAACAAAGAGAAGCAAAACAAAACAAGTTCCTTAATCTAATTAAAGACCAATCAGGGTCACAGTTTTCGTAAGAAGCTTTGTTACTATACACATTAGTACAACATTACCTGGTTTGAAGAAAACAGAGAGACCAAAATCAATGGCCTTGAGAGAGAAATCATCATCCTTATTAACCAACAAGAAATTCTCAGGCTTCAAGTCTCTATGCATGACACCAAGAGAATGACACGCCTCAACAACACCGACAACGATCTTGGTCAACTCAGCAGCTTTCCTCTCGCTGTAATGACCTCTCTGAATAATCCTATCAAACAACTCACCACCAGCACAAACCTCCATCACAATGTGAACATACAAAGGGTCCTCATAAGCTCCTTTTATGGTAACAATGTTTTTGTGACCAGCCAAATGGTGCATTATCTGAATCTCCCTCCTAACATCCTCAACATCTTCCTTAGAGATCAACTTCCTCTTGGATATAGACTTGCAAGCATAGTCAACACCCGTTGCAACCTCGGTGCAAAGATACGTGGTCCCGAATTGTCCTTGTCCTAACTTACGGCTCAAGGTGTAAAGATCACGGATGTTAGGAGTCTTGTGACCGAGAACATAGTATGCTTGGTTGTCCATGTTACGTCGCATAAAAGATTCTTTCGCAGGAAGCACAAGAAGAGGACTCTTGTTGTTGTTGTTGTTGTCTTCTTTAGGGAAGTCTTGTTCTGTGGTCGAAGAATGAACAGAGGAAACGTGGGTGATGGATATGGAGTTATCCTCGGGCAGATTGTTATTGCCCTCGTAGGTTTTGTCCTTGAAAGAACCACGGCATGAATTGCCCATGAAACTTTATATTCACAACTTTCACTTTCTTATTCTCCTCATCCAATGATCACTGTTGATATAGAGAAAAAATAGACAAGAACACCAAATCAAACCAGAGAAGAAAGTTTTTTTTAAGAAAGGGATCGAACTTTGAATGAAATCTAACAAACCCACATCAGATCAAGAATCAGAAATCATAAGTTTTTGTAATTTAATCAAGAAAAGAAAAAGAAAAAGACAAGAGCTCCAAAAGGATTATTTACAAACAAAAAACAATGAATGAGGATTCTGTAATAAAAGAAACATAAAGAGAAGAAAAAACAGAGGATCTTTTACCAGAATAGCAGAATAACAGGTAGGAGACGAGGAAATGGATTAGGATTAGGATTAAGAAATCTGATTAAAGTCAAAATGAAAACAGAAAAAAGGTTTCTATCTTTATATAAATATAGATATATATTGTGTAGCTGTTTGTGGTTGGGTAATAGGAGGATGCGTTGAATGATCAAACAGAGCGTAAAAGATTCATTCTTTGTGGATTTGTTATGATGATGTTGATGAAGGAGAGAAAGATCTTAGTTCTCATCACCTAGACGCGGTTTCCTCTCACCTTCTTCGTTCGTTTCCCACTTTAATTATTATTAATTAATCATCTCTTTTTTACTGGTCTCATGATAGTTGCAAATGGTTAATTTTGTAATGATTTAATTAGGATCACTTATTTTTTTTAAATAGAATGATTATAAACCAAACGTTGTATTATTAACTTGTTAAGTGTTGGGATGTGCTTACAATGATTAACTACAACAATATTTATTATTAGATGTTAGTATATACTTATAGTTAAAGCGTTTATTTATGGCTTCCATCAACAGAATAAACATTTGACAACTAATTGATTTTAAAAGAATATAAGGTTTATTAATTTGACTTTTCATATCAAGATTACACCACCTTTTTCATTTTGGTAGCAGCTAAGGGTTATTAGTGAAATGTCAAATGTGTTTTTTTTTCTTACAAGGACGAAAACGTGAGACATGTCATTGTCGGTCGGTGATTTATAAGATCGCAGCCTAGAATTGTCTCCGCACGTGGTACCAATTTAGTTTCGGACTAACGTTTTGTTGTTTTCTATAAACAATCTATTCTGTTCAGACAAGATGGTTCCTAGCATCATCACAAAGATAAACCATACACTGTCCTTTTTAAAAGTTTTACCTCAATCAGTTGTAAGACTATAACAGCGAAAATATCATTCAGCGACCCTTTACTTACAATCCAAATCTAGCGGTTAAACAAACGCATTTGAAGAGACAAACTTACCAAGTAAGTCTGAGACAAAGAGCTTACCAAAACCTTTCAACTCTAAAATGTATAGCTTCAAACGGACATAAGGTTCAACAAATATAGTGAGGCACCATAACCAAGTTTCTACAAAATATGGTAAGGGACTTTGATTTGAATGGTTGATTAACAGAATCGCAGAATATTTTTTTAGAACTTTAGAAGTTCATTATAATCCTAAGTTATTACTTATTACATAGATAAAGCATTGCCTGTTCTTCCTCATTTTGTTCTTTCGTTTATATAATACATAATACTCTCTTCATCTTAGCTCAATACACTTAGCTTGCCTGACTCCCTCTTTGAATGGATGTGTGCATATGCTTCACTGATCAAATATTCAGTTGAAAACAGTGTTTGTTAACATGCTTTAAGTCTTCTAGCTCTCTTGTATTTTCTTGATTAGGGAATTAGATTTGGAGAGTGATCCTTGAACACAATGTCACTTACTGGTCGCGTTCCAATGCTGTTGTTACACCCCTCGACTCGGTCTGCTTCGCTTACGGGGGTCACTCCATATATTTACAGAATCGATTCCAATTCTAAAATGCTGAGCAAACTTAACTACACCAATACATCATTTCATTCGAAACACATGAGAGCAACAACATTTTTATTTGAAAGCACATACCCTAAACCAGTGAACATCCAATCCCGTCAAGTCTAATCAAAGTCTCATAAACCAAAGGCATCGCAAAAGAGACTCGAACACAAACTCAAGAGAACATGAATCTTTAGGGCCTAAAAAGTTCAAAGTGTGAATCTTATTCCAAATCCCATGAAACCTGTTCAATTACATTTTAGCAAATCACCTGGAGATGCTACTAACAAGCCTAGCACCAACCTTATCAAGCTTCTTCACACAAGCAACAGCCTTCAAGTTCCCACCTCTCATAAAAGCTTCCACCATCCTCTCCCCAATCTCCTCCCCTTTCTCCACCCCATCAATCACTGCCACCGCCGTCGGTCCAGCCCCACTAATCGTACACCCAAACGCCCCCGCCTCCAAAGCCGCCTTCTTCACATCCTCCATCCCCGGAATCAACGGCGCCCTCGTCGGCTCCACGACTTTATCCGACGACAAAGCCTTCCCCAGCATCACCGCGTCTCCTTCCAACACCGCCGCCACCAAAGCCGCCGCCTGGCTACTGTTCCACACATGGTGAACCATCGGAATCTCCGTAGGCAAAGCAGCTCTCATCTTCTTCGTCGGAGCTTCGAACTCAGGGCTCACAAGCACAAAGAACAACTCTTTATCCTCAGGGAACCTCAACGCCTTCAGATCAAGCGGCTCGTAGCTCCTAATCAGAACAAACCCTCCCATGATCGCCGGCGCGATGTTATCCGCGTGATAACCGGAGACTTTCGCCTCCGATTCCAAACCGGCCAAAACCAAAGCCTCCTTCCCTAACTTCCTACCGAAAATCTCGTTGACGGCCACCGCCGCCGCAGCGGCGCTGGCCGCGCTGGAGCCTAACCCGCTACCTAAAGGAAGACCCTTGTGCAAATCTAGAGACAGCCCGACCGATCTGATCCCGAGCATCTTCATGGTGGCGATGGCGGCGATGCCGGCGCAGTTCCGGAGAGGGTTGGTGCTGAGTTTGGTGGTGGTTCCGGTGATGTCGGAGATTAGGATCTCGCCGGCGCGGACGGAGGGGTCTACGCGGAGAGTGACGTGGTCGCCGAGGCCGTCGACGGCGCAGCCGAGGAAGTCGAAGCCGGGGCCTAAGTTAGCGACGGTGGCGGGAGCGAAGGTTTTGACGGAGGTGAAGACGGGTTCGGGTTCGACGGAGATAAGGGTTTGTACGGAGGCTTTGCATCGGAAGAAGGAGAGTTTGGTGGTGAGGGGAGGTGAGGGTTTGGATTTGGGGTGGGGGAAGTAGGAGATGGGTTTGGAGGGTTGTTGGAAGCAGAGTGTCGCCGCCATTGATGAGAAACAGGTCAGTGAGATCAGATGAAGCTAAACAACAAATATAAGAGGGGGAGGAACAAACGTGGCCACCTAACCTAATGTGTTCTTTTTTTTTTTTTGTAACACAACCTAATGTGTTCTGTTTTTTATTTTATTTACCGGTAAAGCGGCTTATTGCTTTTTTAGAGTGGAGTGTGAGATCAGATTCAGATAGCTACATTGAAATTAACGGCTTAACCACGGAAACCTCTAAACCGAAACCGGACCGGATAGCAAACAGTGGCAACCTACTCTGTATAATATTTGAAGAAACCAAGGTCCAAGACATCACCAGGAGACAATGATGAATGGTTAAAGACTCTGAGAAAGCTCTTAAATGATCCTCTACACTTGTTTGTTTTTTCGGCTTCTTTGTTTTTTTTCTGAATCTTCCTAAGCTTTCTTTTTCTTTTTGTGCTAAATTGTAAATGTCATTCATGTAATGAAGGTTTAGTTACAACAAAGTTTGCTTAAAAGCCATTCTGTCTTTAGAAGTTGCAAAAGAATTTTAAAGAATCCTAAGAAACACATTAAATCTAAGACAGTTAAAAATGGAGATAGTAGACAAGTTAGAACAAACGACAACATATGGCTCCCATCTCAGAACACTTATTGAACTCTCGGACAAAATTTGGAGGACCAAGAGTAAATCCAAAACACAGATCGCACGAACACCCCCACCGATGTGGCTAGCAACGGCCTCAGAACACCAGAGATGGAGAAGGACGCCGAGCAAATCAAACTCAAAGCTAAGTAGCTAACTCGGCAGCTAGAGGAAAGTGTGGACCCGACATTACGTCGGTGCTCCTCATCCAGCTATGCGGCTAAGACATCAAAAGGTACACACTGAAGCTCCTCATTTTGCATGATTAATGTTTCTTGGATAACATAAGTTATGTTTTGTGCCCTCCCATGAGAAATTTAATTCTGTTTATTGTTATTGACCAACAACAACAAAACTTGTTGAAATTCAACTAACCGAAAGTAATGAAAATCATGGAACAGTAAAGCTGATTAGTGGAGTGAGATCAGAATAAGATATCGACATTTTACATTCACTCCTGACCAGTGAAACAATGTGTAACCACATTTTACATATGAGGTTTGTGATGATACTATCCCAGTTAAAATCTCTTGGCACACTGAAAGATTGATCCTTTTCGGGTTAAACCTTCTCCTGGATTCTTCTTAATTTTTCATCATCATATGCTTCAAACGAGAAATTTCTGGTGAAGGTATGAGTTTTCTTCCCTTTTTCTTCTGGCTTGTGTTTGCAGACAACTTGAAGAAGGTCTTCAAGTTGTAGATTCTAGAAGCTAATTTGCCAAATTAATTTATATGCTTTTATTTGCAAATGATCTCTTTTTATATCCGCATATATTTTTTTCTTATATTAAGTTTAGCATCGACCATCCAGGTTTAAGTGAAAAAAATTTTCTGGCAAAAACAAATTTCTTCAAATAGACCAGCCGACAAATGTATGGTGATATAGAGTGGGTGTATGCTTAACGACACGTTCGGTATCAAAACACAAAAACTATATCTGAACGATCAAAACTACAAAACTTGGATCACAAATCTTCGAATACCTGCAATGTTTTCACTTCATGAGTTGGCTACTCTTTTGATCACTCAGCATTTGCCCTCTTCTTGAGGAATGGTGAATGTCCACCCTGGAAAGTCTGAATCCTCAAACAGAGATGTTGGAACCGCTTTGTAGAAGGCTAATGGAACTTGTTTTACCCTTCTTCGAATCTGCCATATTTTAAACATCTCTCCACAGTTAGTTTTTCTATACATGGAGACCAAAAGCAAGTGGTGGCTAATTACAACAAAAAGTTTATGTATAAGAAGCAGAAGGCTACGTTACCTCATCCCCGAAGATGGTGGCATATGAACCAGAGCTGAAATCTTCTATTTTCATTTCAGTGGTTTTCGCTCTGATAGTTAGATCAGTTTCCAGCGATGAAACAAACCTATACAAGGAAAGAGAGAGATATCATCAAGGAGATTACAAAATGTAAAAGATTTTTTTTTCTTTTGGATATTATTGTTTGGTGAGTAAAATGTACCTAGAAACAGGTGGGCAGTAATGGTGGCGCAATGTGTCAATCTCCCAAAGGGAACTCCCTGTTAATAAATAATGAATACCATAAGTTCTCTAATGAAACGGCCTCACATGAAGCAAAATAACAACCTCGTAATAAGAACTTCATTTTGTGAGTGAATCTATAGAAACATGGCATTTTAATCAAAGCTAATATATGTCGTTATGATACAGTCCACATTAAAAAGTCTAAATTTAAATAGGGGTGAAATTATGTGCTAAAGGCGTGGAAAATACATATAAACGATAGGGAATGTCAAATACTTACTCATGGCTCCAGTTTTCTTGAGATCTGTGTCCTGGCTGTTGAAATAGTCGATACCAAGCTTTTTGTTGGTCTTTGGCCTGCTCTCACTGTCTTCGTCAGCCTCTGAATTGGCTTCATTTGCGTTTTCAACGGGTTCCTGCACAATAATGATCACATTGTACGTTCATGCTTCTTATACACTCTTTTACTCAGTCATGAGGGATAATCCTATAGTAGTAAGTCACTGTCCCGCACTTGTTAACATACTTTTTCGCATTTTAAAGCACTAAAAGAAGGTTATACCTGATGCACAAGATGGTTGATTGTAGGATGTCTTCGCAACAGGTTGTAAATCAAAGCCGTAATGACAAGCGATCCCGAGGGAGGAACAGAAAGTGACAATCTGCTAAGTTTCTTTGTGAACGAAGCTGCCAGATATGCGGGAAGCAAGGATGACCTAAGGCAAGCATCAAGAAGCTGCAGAAACGCATTTCAGATATAGATGGAAGAAGGATAACGGATTATAAATCAGTAATTCATTGATCACACAAAACCAGCAAATACCTGAAGAAATCTTGCTCGGTGCTTAGCCACAAAGACGGAAGGAACCAGCAAAGCATAGAGCTTTTCATAAAAGTTGGGATACTCTAAACCATGCTCGGTCATGAGGATGAAGAGGCTGCTTAGAGCCATCACACTGACAACTCCCCCGATATCATACGACTTTGTTAGGAAGTCGCTGCAAGTTAACAGAAATGGTGAAACATATGTAAGCGATTATCGAAGAAAACGATATAGAGAACGGTAAAAGCTTTGGTAAATATGCCCACCATAACATTGCAGGATTAGAGAGATGGGGAATGACTGTCTGGTGAATACTAGCAAGAACCTGATAATCACAAGATAGCATATTGGTTAGTAAGTTTATCCATGCGGTATTCCAAACAAAGGGTTTGCTGTGAAAGTAAATCAGCTAACCTCCTTGTAAACGTCAAGGGGAAGTGGCAGTCTGAGAAATGAGATCCAGGCTTTAGTGAACTTCAGCTTCATCCTCTTGGCAATTGTAGTGGGAGAAAGAAGCTAGAGTTTTGACAGAATAATATTAAGAAGCGAAAGTAAGCACTTCATTGTAGGAAGAAAAAGTAATCACATATTCAGTTCAGTATATTAAAGCAAATTTTCAAATGAAAACTCACATTGCTGTCTTGATCTTTATTCTTTTTCTTCTTCTCTTTCGGTTTCTCACTACTACTTTCATCTGATAATACCGATAACCTTTATTAGCAACTCTAAACACAGAGGGAAAATCCTAAACGAAGTTTGAAACAAATAGTGAAACAGTCACCTGAACCACTCCACATCTCATGGTCAGACTTTTCAGCTTGTTTTTGAGGTGGTGGAATTCGAGATAAAACTTGATAGATCTTGCGAATAGAGAGTTCCATGCTACAAGTCAAAACAATTCCAGATCATCAACAACACAATAACAAAACAAAAAAAAAGAGCAGCATAAAAGGTACATTCAAAAAGTCTGGAAGAAACTGATACTAACCTGTCTTTCGATTCATTCTCAGTCTCATTATTTTCCACTACAAACGGTCAAAACCACATCAGTTACACACACACAAAACACTTCCATTATCTATCAATCAAGAGGGAAGCCAAAAAAGGAAGCAAGAATAAGCGTACCAGAAACGGCTGAGGCTTCCAGAGTTTTAACAAACTTTTCCATGCTGATGTATGTAAAATAGCTGTAGCATAAATCAATGCTCAGAGTCAATCCAAAATAAGCATATAAACAAGCTAAACCAGAAAAAAGAACAGGATGAATACATATAATAAAACAAAGAGGTCTCAATCCAAAAACATACCGGACATCAATGTAGTTGAAGTACTTTGAGTTAAGTATATCCAAGAATACATCAGTCTCAACTGCAGAATGAATCTACATAGACAATACTCAAAACATTACAGCACTGGCGAATAATGAGCCAAAAAAAAAAAAAAAACTTTTTTACATTAAGTCGGAACGAAACTTACAATAGCATTAAGTATCCTATTGTAGATGGAAGAGTGAAACCTCCCAGCATTCAAAAGCTTCACAAACTCCATCAACGTCCCCAAAACAATATCCTGAAAAAAACAAACCAATTCATTGTTGAAGCTACATAAACGACAACGTTTCACAAAATCACGAGAACAAAAGACAGATAAGACAAGACAGTTATACCCTTAAAGTATCTTCCGACTGGTCGGAGACAAGAACATCGAGTAGAAGCTTCACAAACTCGTCAAAATTCGATCTTAGCCACGCTTTGAAGACAACTTCAGGGTCCTCATCGACTTCAGCTGTCTTGGTCGTATCATCGTTGTCTTCTTCTTCGGAACGAGGGCGTTTCGTTGAAGAAGGGTGTGAAGAAGAAGAAGAAGACGAGGGGAGCTGAGAGAGGAGAGGAGTGAAGAAGGACTGGAGGGAGAGGAGGGCTTCCACGACGAACTGCGGCGGAGATTGGGGTGAGATGAAGGAGAGAAGGAGAGGGAGGTTGTTGATGTGAGCTCGGGAAGAGAGGAGGTCGCAGCCTAATGATTTGAGCTCTTTCAAAGTGTAGTTTTCTTTCTTCTTCTGCATTTTGGAGATGATTGACGCCATTGTTGAAGCTCTCTCTCTCTCTCTCTCTTGAGTTTGTGGCGGAGACGGAGGACGAAGAAGGGTTTATGAGGAGAGAGGCACAAGAAAAACCTAACGAACGAAGTAGTTGGTGCAAACGACGTCGTATTTTAGTATTCAGGAAAGAATAAATCATATACAAGCCCTCAGACAATTTAAGTATAAACGTTTAACCACAATATTTTTTTCTATTTACATATATGGTTAGGTTGGTATGATTATTGCTCTTTCAACATAGAAAACTAGAAACAAATAGTAGGCCTGCAGGATCGACAAGGTTGCTTAGCTCGGTTTTCTGGTAAATTAAACTGAAAACATGGCTTGATTTCGGTTAATTCACGTTTTCGAATTCTTACCACATAGAATTTTTGATTACTCGGTTAAATATTTGGTTAAATTGGGTTATTCCAGTTCTGGTACGAAATTTTGGATATAATATAATTGAAGAACCAGTTTGGTTCGGTACAAATAGATTTTAGTTTGGTTTGAAATTTTGCAAAACTTAAACTAACCAACCACTGAACTAAACTGAAATATTTTTGGAAAATCGCCGATCAGTTCAGAACCTATTAACAAAACTTCGGTTCAGGTTCAGAACCGCAGAGCTACATATTCGAAATTCAAGTGTATGCGTAAACGATAAGATTTTGTTACTGAAGCATTTCACAAAACACCGTACACGAGTGTAAGATGTAAATTTAGCAACTAAACGTGAGAGATTTTGATTTCCCTTTTCTTCCCAAAAAAGCACTACAAAACTTAGAAACAGAAAGGCTCTTGGATCTCGATGTTTCCATCTTCTTCTTCTTTTCGTGGGTAAACTATATAAAAAAAAAAGAAAACTATTGCTGCTTCTCGGGTTGTTCATCTTCTTCTTGGTCAGGGTTTTCTTCTTCCTCTTCTTTCTTCTCTTCCTCTTCTTCTTCGTCTTCTGCTGGAGGATCGTAAGGCATTGGCGGTGGCAATGGTGTCTTCATCGGGCTAAACTTTGGGAAAATGTCAGGCCTCCTCCCAGGTTTAGGTCTCTCCCACTCCTACCAGTATATCAAAACCGACATCACAATTGTTTCCGTAGGAAAAAAATACTAAAGAACATAACTATTGAACATGTATTTCCAAGTCAGATCACAGACGTCGACTATTATTATGAGAATGGCAATATAATATCGAACACATGTAGATTATCTAGTATTCATAACCAAAACTATGGAGAAAAATAATTGGATTCTGATCCCTTATAACTAAGAGTATACATAACACTCTAATATATATGCACACTCGAACGAAATGACGAATTAATAATCATTTTCGATTCATGAGTATCTTTTTCTAAAGACAGAACAAATGAACTGTAAAATGCCCTGACACAACACCAATTCGACCAATAGCTACTTCAAACTAGACCTTCTAAATTACGGCTAAATAGGGAAGAATGGGAGACTTACGATTGGGAAATCAAGAGGATTGCGACGAGTGAGCTTCTCTTCCTCGGGAGCCATAGCCACAACGCGCAGATGATTCTTCGCTCTTCTAGCCATCCCAACGCGAGACGAAGAACGGCGTACAGACGAAGAGCACGTAATCGAGCGCGTGTCGTGTACCGAAGACGCCTTCGTTGGAGATTGAAACCCTAGAGCATCGAGCGCAGAGCAAAGCGACGCCATGGCTCTCTCCGGACGGAGGGTAACTAATCGATTTTCCACCAACCAAGAATTATCGTGACAACTTCCTGAACGAAGCTTATGGTTTGCGTTTTGCTATTGGGCCTAGAGCCTTCATGGACTTGTTTTCGGTGGCCCATTAACACTAAAACTAAAAAGTCATCGTCATTAAAGACTAGTCACAGTCAACTATGTAGTTGGCTCGTCTGGCTTGTACTCACAAGATTCTTTGGAAGATGAAATTGAAAATTTTTAAGACTTGTGAATTTGTTTTTCTTGCTTATTTTGGCTTTCATCTGCATTTTGTACTTTGTGTAGGTTCCTTTTATTGATTCTGCTTTGTTTGTCTATATGCTAATACTGTAAGCTCGAAATATTGGAGCTTGGTCTGTCTATTAGCAGATGAGGTCTTCATAAGAAGATCGAGATGTATCTAGATAATCGAGAAAAGAAAGGCTGTTAGTGACTGATGTGGACAGCAGTGTCGGTCTTGGAGTTAGGCATAGCCGCACAGATGGCAAACGAGATAATTTGGTGTTATCACAATTTTAGGATTTATATTGTAAATATAGTCCTAGATTTAAATATGCGTTTTAGAATTACGTCTGACAATTCTACTTGTATCACACTAAACCATATCATTTCGTTAATCTGCATAATTCATCACAGATCACATTCTTTGGGAACAGAATTATCTTTTAACTAGGGGTTGGTTCGTCCTATGGGCAGAAGAGTCTATAATAATACTATTCAATATTTTAAATTTATAATTATTTTAAATAATAAATATATATATTTTAATTTAAGATTATATTGTAAATTTTATTAAAAATTGTTAATTGGAGATGAAAAACCATTAACAGATTTTTAGTGAGCATGAAATTATACAATAAAACAAAATTAAGAAAAATATAATGATTTATATTTTATCTTTTTGATTTTATTTAATGTTGATATAGTAAACGAAAATCCAAAATAAAATCAACTGATACACCATTTTCTAAGAGTTACAGTTTTTAATACTTTACACTAATAAATTTCTCACAATATTAATTAATCCAACCATGATATATAAATTGAAAAATATTGTAATAAATTTAAAATTTATATTTTTTAAGTTCTATAGAAATATTTTCAGTAATGTCATAGATGATAATATATTTTACTTGACAATGAATGATGTTTTATAATAGATGTTTATTTCACTTTATATTAGATTTTCAATTTATAATAGATGTTGTTCCTATGGAGAGTGATTTTAAGGTTTGATTAAAACTTATAAGGTTATGTTTATTTATTTGTATGATATTATATAATGCTGGATTATTTTAAAAAAATGCTGGATTATTTTGGTTAGTTGTAGTAGATGTGTAGTCGTCACATTCACACGTCTTAAATTGTATTGATGGTTTGGATGTTTCTATGGTGTGATTAGTTTATTTAAGCTTGAGTTATTTGTATTTGGTTGATTGAGCTTATTGTTTTTTGTCATAATGCGAAAATTAATTTTGAGATTTAATGGTGTACAATTGTAAGAATATTTAAAACATAAAAACAATTTATTTCTATGTTCAAATTATGCATATGTTGCTTAAATCTTGAGATTCTTCCTAATGTTTATGTTATGGGAAACTTTTAGTAGTTGAAACAAGTTAATGCATGTATTGATGGTATAAAGACTCTAATTGAGGCACCCTAAAGTGTACTTCTTCCACCCTAAGCATGTGGTCAGACAGTGATTTTGGAGGATATATGGATTATCCATGTTTATGAACCGTCTAGAGAAGTTAATAAATGTGACGGAAGTCACAAAAATACCGATTTTTAAAGAAGGTGGAGATAAATGTCTTTGGTTTTTGAGAAAAGGATGTATACAAAAATGTATAAAATAAGATGCATTTTTAAAGAAGGTGGAGATAAATGTCTTTGGTTTTTGAGAAAAGGATGTATACAAAAATGTATAAAATAAGATGCATTTTGACTACTATGTTATTATGTTAATGTTCATTTATTAAGAGTCGTTTCCGTACATGATAGAGGAGCTTCTTGCTTTTCTAAGTATGTTTAGAAAGGGTTTTCTATATCTTGAAACGTTTTAATAGTTTTTTGGTCAATTAATGGGACGTTATTATATAATAAGAAAATGTTAGAAATTTGACTCTCTGGTGCAGTCTCTATATATATTATATATACAATGAGTACCTTAGTTGTTAGTAACATTGTGAACTTGGTAAAAGATAGAAACATGTGAAGAACCAATCTCTCATGTAGTTAAAATGAGTGTCAACATTTTCATGAACTTCTAATGAAAATGTGTGGCAGGACATTAAATAGCTACTACTATCTATATATGAGTGGGAATGTACCACTACATAAAATAAGGGATGGGTGAATTCGTGTTTATTTATTTTTTTGTCTCTTCTCACACCAGACTTAGATGATTTGGAAAAAATCATCATTTTCGTAAGGTTTGTAGAACATTGTTTTTTTCTGCTAGTAAGTTAACCAAAAGTAGTTAATTAACAAATAAAAAAGTTTGGACTAAGTTCAATGTATAACTTAATTTGTGAACAATTTGAAAACATAGCAGATGCTATCAAGTCTTGAGATTAAATTGTAGGGTCGTGATCGTGGAAACTTAATTATTTTGTGTCTTCTAGACAGAAACCTTCACACTCTGAAGAACTTGAGGAACAATTACAATCAGTGTCACACAATTTGTGGTGAATAATGTGTGTCATGTTTGAGTAGGCGTTTATAATGAAAATGTAACTAAAAGACTATTCTTTGCCACATGTATGGTTGCATTTCCAGGTGGGTTTATGAGGAACCACATGTTTATCACTTTGAAATTTAGTTTATCGGTCACAAGGTGAAAACATGCTTGGAAGGATCCTGAAAAATATAGTTCAATAAACAAATCCATTTTAAATGTCAACTATGCAAACATTGAGATCTGGGCATAAATCAAGTGATAAGAGATGATCGTTTCACCTTGGCATTCAGTATGGTTGAGTTAACAACCACTAAGACAGCTATTATATTGTTAAAAAAGAGAGCATACATCGATCATGGTAGCTAAGAAGATAATAATTAATGGTCAAGTGATTGAGAAGTAATGGATAGGAGCTGGATGTTTTTTTTTTTGCTCCTAACCTAGCCAGAAAAGTACTCTGCTTCATTAAGCTCTTGATTGTTTGTCGCAGTTTGAAACATTGCTTTCAGCTTTCCAATAACCCACTTGCAGTCATATAACAGCATCTTAGCCTTAGACAAGATTGGACCCATGGCTCTAAGTTTATCATCTGCAATTAAATGCAATTAACAGAGAACGTTACTATATGCGTTCTCATTTTCTCATCTATATATTATATTTTCCAAGAAGTGTAGAATCAACAGATTTGAGTGTTCCGTTCGATGGCCGCATTTTATAGTTTCAAAATAGTATCATCATTTTGCAGAATTAACTATCGATTCTGGATACATTCAATCTACTATTAGGGAAATGTGAGAACTTGTAATTAATAACACAAAGCTATGAACTTAGTGTTTGTGTTAGCCACCTAAAGCTCTCAAACATAATTTGATGAACACCATCGTTAAGCTCGACGAACTTGGTTACTTCAGTGAAACAAATGGCTACAGTTGGCTCTATAGAAATGAATGAGTTTGCTGTTCTAATCTCTGGAAGATTAGGAATGATTATGACTGAAAGGATTGATTATGACTTATGAATTTCACAAAAGACACTCATGTATTTATAGTTGTGGATTTATACAATGAAAGCTAAGAGGACATGCCTTGAATGAGACATCGTAGAAGGAGTGGGTAAGGCGATGAGAGATTTAATGAGGATGATTGAATGTAATTGATTTCTGTAATGCTGTTTCATTTCGTTTGAAATCTAGAAGAACTCCAGTCGATTCGACACAGTTACCTGATTCCTACTGAAGTTGGCCGGGGTTAATCAGGAGGTAAAAAGTGAAAGCTACACTAAACATATACTTTGACGGAGTTTTGGTGAGGAAGACGATACATATGGGCTTGGTTAATAATATAAGAGAATCCAACTTACTAATTTTGTGGGGTTCAAAGAATAATAGTAGATAAATTAATTAGAAAAAGAACCAGAAGCCCATAAATAATCCATCGAATAACCAAATGAGAAGAGTATTTAGGATGAGACACGTGGCATTAATCTCTCCCAAAGAGTGAAAAAAATCAACTTTATTGTTATAGATAGATATAGAAGCATTACAGAACTCCGGATAGAAGCATTATATGTGTTGTTAAAAAAAGGCATAAGATAATTGATATTTTTTGCTCAACAAAAAAAAAAAAGATAATTGATATTTTGATTAGTTTTCAATCCCTTTTTGTTACGAATATGATACATGTAGGGCTGGGCATTTTATTCGTTAAATTTGATTAGATTCGTTATTAGTTTCGATTCGATCCGAAAATTCTGAATATCCGTAAACTTTTGAAACAAATAAAATATTAAAACTCAATATCCGTTAAAAACGAAAGAAATCACAAATACTAAAATTTTGGGAAGTGGATATCCAATCCGGCAATATATAAATACATGTATATCTCGATTATATTTAAAGTTTTAAATGTATAAAATTTTATAATTATCATTCTAATATATGGTTTGACAAATTTTATTCACATTATTACTTATATAAAAGTATTACATAAAAAGAAGGGAAAACATTTATGACAATTATAATTTTTTTCTTAAGTTTTGTGTTATTATAATTGTTAACTAAGTTTAAAAAATTTACAAAAATATGTAGATTCACTACTTTTAAATTTTATCTTTTATATCATGCAAAATAATATTTTACAAAACAAATTTCTATCAAAATTTTAAGATTATTTATCTTAATCCAAACATATGAGATATCCGTAAATATTCGTAAAATCTATTTATTTTTCGGATATCCGTTTTTCCGAATATCCGTATTTTACCGAAGCAAAGCAAATCGAAAAACTAGATATCCGTGACATACGAAGCAAATCACAAATACCTTCAAAAACCCATAAATCTGATCCATGCCCAGGCCTAGAGACATGTATGATGAATCAAGTACTTCCTTCAAGAATGTTCTGCAAGCTACATCACCTAGACACATGTGCCTCGAATTTCCCCCGCCAATTTCAACACCGTCTTGCCAAAGACCTGGAAACCCAACAACCGCCGGATAATAAGGCGAAACGGATAAGAAAGAGGCCTGAGAACCTTAAGGCAGCTCCGATATTCACAAATATGACACGACAAATACCAACACTTCAGATCCTACGTGCGCCCACCACAACATTACTGCCTCCAACGCCTAACAACCAAACGCAATATATCCCACTATCTAACCACAAATGAAGCATCATACAAACAATAAAAAACGAAAGGAGATTTTCTCACGAAAATCATGTCCTTTTTTAATAACTTTTCCTTTGTACTTTTCATACATAGCCGTTTTCAACGTTGTCGTCTTCACGCGTTTATTAATTCTGAAAATTCAACACAACTATGGTACAGATATTCTAAAACATAAATAGTACTTGAATTTACAGAAAGAATAAATTCAAGCTTGAACTATCATTTCAATTGTCAGAATACATCCAAGAATATAACAATAAAACTCTAAAACCAAATATATAGTAGTAAGCTAGATGATTTTTGAACTAATTTACAATCATTTTCTTTTTTTCCAGTTTTAACTTGGTAAAATGGTCGAGCTAGTAACTATTTCAGACAGATAGTGACTTGTTGAAAAGAAGAAAATAACGTTAGGCTAATTGTTGTGGAATTGATTGATTGGCCACGGAAACATTTTATATTATTTTCAGTTGACTTGACCGTAAACTAAACATTCTCTCTCTCTCTCTCCTCCCCCGTCCTCAAATCCTGGCAACACAACAATTCAAAGACTCAGTCTTCTCAATGGCATGGTAACACCGTAACCATTTGTTTGTGCTTCTCTTCTACTCCATACAATAAATAATTTAGTCAGAGAAGAGAGAAAGAAAATAAATTTCGTCGAGCTGGAGAGAAAAAAAAAAGTTATCCTTTTTTTGTCAAGTCATTCACACCCAATTCTCTATCCATCCATCCTTGTTCTGTCTTTTCTGGTAAAGCACTCTGTTTTACATTCACACGCTATTTTTTTCTTTCTCATTGACTTCTGTAAATAGTGTATGGATTGTATATACAAATACTTGTAAAACAGGTAGAAATTGTTTTGGCTTTTAATTTTGTTTGTTGGTATGGGGCTTTGCTGGTCTTCTCCATCTAAACCTCCTTCAATAACAACAACAACACCTAGCTCTACCGGAAACATCAGTTCAGGTTCGTCCTCTCAGTCTCACTATATGGGTTTCACTTAAACTTTTGTAATACGGTAAGATTCATCTGCAAAACCAGTGTTAGTTTTATGTTCGATGCATAAAGGTTACTCTTCTTATACAATCCTTGAATGGTTAAGCCTTGGTCAAACGATGAAACTTTCTGTTAATTTGATTTAGAGTCTTGTTTTGTTGTTTTTTCATATGGGTTTCACATAAAGTTTCCTCCTTTTAATGTTGTGTCTTTTGCTTATGATCTGTTTTGTGATGGAGTGTTTTGGGCTTGATCTTGTTATGGAATGGTTATTATTGAAACAGGTCCATTTAAGTCAACAACTACCGGAACATCAAGAAGTACCATATCTAATTTTAGTGGGTTCTCTGAGGCAAGTGGTGAAGATGCTCACCCTGAAGGTCAGATACTTCCCAATCCAAACTTGAGGATATTCAACCTTGCAGAACTTAGAGCTGCAACGAGGAATTTCAAATCTGAGAATGTTCTTGGAGAAGGAGGGTTTGGGAAAGTATTTAAAGGCTGGCTTGAAGAGAAAGGCCCTGGGAGTCACAGTACTGGTTCTGTGATTGCTGTCAAGAAACTTAACTCTGAAAGCTTCCAAGGCTTTGAGGAGTGGCAAGTGAGTAGAGTTTTAACTTAACAAATGAGATGCACTGAGTAGTAGTGTTTGTTTATTTGATGGAGTTTGTTTCCGTGTAGTGTGAGGTAAATTTTCTTGGGAGGATTTATCATCCAAACCTAGTGAAGCTGTTGGGGTACTGCTTGGAAGGTGATGACTTGCTTCTAGTGTATGAGTATATGCAGAAAGGGAGCTTAGAGAATCATCTCTTCAGAAGTAAGAACCATCTTTCACTTGAAAGTCATTTTTTAAATGTTATGGTTTGCATGATTTGTAATTGCTTCTATTCCACCAGAGGGATCTGTTGTTCAGCCGCTCTCATGGGAGATAAGGCTTAAGATCGCAATAGGAGCAGCTAAAGGCTTAGCGTTTCTGCATGCTTCAGAGAAGCAAGTAATCTATAGAGACTTTAAAGCTTCAAACATTCTACTTGATGGTGTAAGTAATTAACATAATGGCTTATGGGTTTGATAATATAGCAAATATCATCAAGCGTGGAGTGAGTTAAACTTGTTTTGATCTTTGTTGCAGTCTTATAACGCAAAGCTATCAGATTTTGGATTGGCCAAGTTAGGTCCTTCCGAGAGTCAATCTCACATCACAACACGAGTTATGGGTACACAAGGTTACGCAGCTCCAGAGTACGTTGCCACAGGTACTAAACACAATGTCTTAATCTTATTGGTTCTTTTGGTTTTCAAGTACAAACTGTGCTCACGTTGGTTGGTTCTTGACAGGTCACTTGTATGTAAAGAGTGATAACTACGGGTTTGGTGTTGTTTTGGCTGAGATCTTGACTGGTTTACGTGCCCTTGATCCTCTCCGTCCTACAGGGCAACACAACCTAACTGACTGGATCAAACCTCACCTATCTGAAAGAAGAAAGCTGAGGAGGATAATGGATCCTCGTCTAGAAGGGAAGTACCCTTTCAAATCAGCTTTCCGAGTAGCTCAGCTGGCTCTGAAATGTCTTGAAACGGAACAAAAGAACCGTCCATCGATGAAAGAAGTGGTGGAATCTCTCGAACTTATATTACTAGCTGCCAATGAGAAACCCTTGGAGCGAAGGACCAATAGAGCTTCCCCAAGTATAGGTCACCAACAAAGCCATTATCGCCGGGAACATCTGGCTTCGTTTCAACCTAGACAGACCATGTCTCGAGCTCACTAGTGTTGTGTTTTGAACTCACGTGATTAATTTTCCTCTCTCTCTCTCTCTCTCTCTCTCTCTCTCTCTCTCTGGTTTTGTATTTGTTTAAGATAATTAGAGAATGGTTCGTGTGTGTGTGTGTGTATACCACATGTAAACAAAAGACAAGACAAAGCATATGTTGTAACTAGTAAATGTGTGTATACTACGTGTAACCAAAAGACTAAGACACATTACTCTGTTTGGTTTGACGCATGCTCTGTTTCAGAAAACTTGAGAACATTCGAATGGGCTGTCCGGAGAGGCTTTAGCCACATTACTCTTGCATTATTGACATGTTTAGTCACAACGATGGAACTAATCAAGAATCTTCCAGAAGAAGTATAACCCGGGGTAGTGCTTGGGGATCAGTTCTGAGCAGCTCCACTGCATGAACTGTTAAAAAACAAGAATATTAAAATACTTCTAATATTTTAGTAAATTCGATTTTTGGTTAAAAAAATTAAATTCATAAAATGTTACTATAAAATATGAATATAGTTATAATTTGAATAAAACGGAAATCTGAAACATCAAAACTAAATCCAACCATAATAAATGTAGTTTAACATAATAAGGACTAGAGTTTTTACCCGCACGTTCGTGCGGATATATTTTTCATTTTTAAAAATTTATTTAATATTAATGTAAATATTTGAAATATATAATTTATATTTTTATGTTATATATTGTGTAAATTTATAATCTAATTGGTGTAGGTTTTTATTCAACATTATTAATATATAATATTCTTTAATTTTTTACTTTGAAATTTATAAAATAGAATAGAATTCTTTCTTTGTTATTATAGTGAAATTTTAATTAATATTAATGTATAATAGTATGATATTATTAATTACGAAATTCATTTTTATATTATTTAATAATAAAATATTTAAACTTTTAGTAAGATTTTGTTAGATTTTTTCTCAACTGATTCTGTTATAACTAAAAATAGAATGTAAATCTATTATTTTCAGCATATATGATATATATTTGATTGATTAACCTAAATAATTTAATAAGTCATACTAAGTAATTAATGAAATGGTTCTATATGACTTCTTTGTAGTAGATAAAAATAGTGACTCTATTTTAATAGAGTAGATGTTACAAAAAAAAAAAAAACATAATTAGGAAAAACGCTTCTCAGTGTTATGCAAATGTGTTGGTCATTAGAATTATCGACATATAATTTTTTTGAAAGATTCTCAGAATTTGGTATATGCTATTATTTTTTGCCCACAAAGGTCTGTAGTAACAAAATATTTGGACCACAAGTGTGTCATGGGCATCTCCAAATCCCTTAACCTTTGATCATTCTCACTCCTATCTTTTAATATTTTCTTTAATTTTTTTTTTGGTCACTATATTTTTCTTTAATTTTTTTTTGGATAAAATGTTAAATTTATACCATTTTCGATTTTAAAATATTGCGGACAACTTATTATGCAGAAAGTAAAGAAACACAGCAATACAACCAAATTCAAGACCGTGAACAGCCTCAGGGAGGCCTAATACAAGAAAAGTAGAACTGCAACAGAGAAGGTGAAGAATCTGGCGACGGATAGGAGAGGAGACGATCCCTGACTAGACGGTCCAGTGCTTTACGGATAGCAGCAGCAGAGGTGGAGACAGAGGTAAAAATATGAGCATTATGCTCTCTCCAGATGAGGTCTACAACGGATTGAAAGATCAGCTTGATGAGAAGTGGAGCTTAAGATGGATGGTGAAGGCGGGAGATCATTGCAGAAACTGAGTGAATGTCAAAGGGAGCTGGAGATAGAATGGCTTCGGCGAAATGCTTCCAGATGCTGGAAGAGAACTCACATTCAAAGAAGATGTGGTGATGTGTTTCAATATTTGAAGCGCAAAGAACACATTCATGTGGGACATTGAGTCCCCATCTTCTAAGTCTATCACGCGTGGGTAGCCTTCGTAGGAGAGCCAACAATGAGAGAAAGGCATTGCGTGGTATATGTTCTTTAAACCACACAACCTTATTCCAATAAACAGTCGGGGATGACTGCCTGATATGCTCCCAAGTTGTCTTGGAAGAGAAATTAGGCCCGAAGCTTCCATCTTGCTTCCGCCAAAGCTATTGGTCTGTACCATTGTTCGATGACGGAGGAGGCATAGTGGTAAGGACAATTTGTAATGTCTGAAGTGATCGAGCAGGAGGAAGTAGCCAAGATTCCTCTCTTGCAACCTCTGAGACAGTAGCTTGTTTACCAAGTATGAGCATCAGAGGACCATTTTTTCACCAATAACCGAGATCAAAGGCCCTAGCAGGGTCCATGTGTCATACCAAAAGGAGCAAGTAGTCCCATCCTTGACATTGCAACGCATGAAGTCGTTCAGCAGAGGCCTGAGTTGGATCATACTTCTGACTGTAGGGGATAAACGGCTTGATTCCTGCGTTTGCCAAAAACCATTTCTCCCAAATACATTTTCCTGCAATCAAGCAACCCATAAAGATCCAGAGTTTGCAAAAAGATTCCAGACCCGTTTAAGCCTGAACACTAGCTGGAAGTCCTCCAACAACCGAATGCCCACTCCACCTTCAGCCTTAGGCCGACATACATCTTTCCAAGAAACCCGAGAACCTGAAGCAGAAGTGGTCTTGTTCTTCCATAAGAAACCAGCACATAGAGAATTAATCTTAGCATAGAAAGACCTAGGGGTACAAAGACTGCACTCCAAAAGTTAACCATTCCATATATTTCAGAGGCCACCAATCTGATTATACCGGCGAAAGATAAGTATTTGACTGTCCGAGAGTGTAACTTGCCAATAATCTTGTCAATAAAAGGTTTCAGAGTTGCCATCGTAATCCTTTAAGGATTCAGAGGAAATCCTAGGTAGCGAGTAGGGAAGGTTCCAATAGAGAATCCAGAAATATCCGTTATAACCTGAGCCGAAATCTGATCGTAGCCCCCAAAGAATATCTGAGACTTTACCGGGTTCATGCTAAGACCACTCATTATTCTGAAACTTTCCATCACTGAACAAATACCTCTAATAGACCATCGAGAGCCGTTGGAGAAGACCAAAAGGTCGTCAGCAAATAGTAGATGGGTGATTTTAGGTTCAAAGCATCTCGGATGGGGTCTAATACGGCCGGAGTCTGCAGCTTTGACGAGGAGATTAGAGAGTACATCCATCACAAATAAGAAGAGGTATGGAGATAACGGGTCCCCTTGACGTAAACCTTTTTTACCTGGGAAGAAACCTGCCAGTTCACCATTTATAGCTACTAAGAATCTAGGAGATGAGATACATTCACTGACCCAACGTCTGACGACAGGAGGAAAGTTATGGGCTTCTAGTAGTTTAAGAACAAAATCCGAAGAAACAATGTCGAAAGCCTTCTTAATATCTACTTTCAGCATGGAGCTTTTCTCACACCTTGCCTTTCCATAATCTCTGATAAGTTCAGAAGAGAGTAAGACATTTTCACCAAGACTGCGACCCTTCAAGAATGCCGATTGGCTTGGACTTATGCTGTTTTGCAGGACCCTTTTAAGCCTGTTGGAGATGAGCTTGGAAATAATCTTGTAAATCAGGTTGCAACAGCTTATCGGTCAAAAATCTCCAAGCTTACAAGCCTGAGGAACTTTAGGAATCAAAGCTATGGCTGTGTTGTTCAAGTCTTTTAACAGCATGCCATTGAGGAATAATTCGTTCACATCTGCAATAACATCTGGTCCAACAATACTCCAAGCTGAACGGAAAAATTCAATGGAATATCCTTCAGGACCTGGGCTTTTATTAAGCGGCATAGCAAATATTGTTTTAGTTATCTCCTCGGTAGTGACAGGACAACTGAACATCTCGCATTGGGCATCTGAACACCTGAAGGATATAAGATCTTGAAGATCTCTGATGGAGCAGGGAGACACATGCATATCAGTGTGCCCCAGAATATTCTCAAAGTAAGAAGCATAATGTGCTTTGATCTGATCCATAGAGCCTATGTACCCATCATTCTCATCCCGTAAGTAATGAATGTGATTGGTAGCTGCTCATTGAATAACTGACTTGTGATAGAAATCAGTATCACGGTATTTCAAATGATTCCATTTTACCCGAGATTTATGTCAGTATAATTTCTCTTCAGCTTTAATAAGAAATTGCCATTTTTCTCTTTCTACGTGTTCCAGTCTAGCGGTGACAGGGTCCGGGTTTGTTAGCAGTTGGCGTTGAAGCTCAGTAACCACAACTGATTGATTTTTCACTCTCTGAGTTATACCACTGAAATGAGTTCTGTTAAGACCACGTAGAACACCTTTTAATAACTTCAGGGATCTTTGCAACTTGAACTGGTATGTACTGTGGATAGTGACACAATTCCACGCTTCCTTGACTGAATCCAAATACTTGGGATGATCAACTCTATGGTCAAAGAATTTGAAAGGTTTGACTATCCGACGTCTTAGAGAAGGCATGGAGACCAAGCAAGGAGCGTGGTCAGACTGCTCAGGTTTAAGAAACTCTCCAAAAGCATCAGGAAAGGACTGAGCCAGTTCTGGTTAACGAAGAGGTGCTCTATCCTTTTGGATATTGGGTTATCATTATGATTGTTACACCAAGTGAAAGGCAGGCCCTTAGTGTGAGACTAAAATAGTTCAGCTTCCTGGATAGCGAGGGTGAAATCGTCAGTACCTGCAGCATCAACATCAATATACGGGTGTCTAGAGTGCTGGTCAGATCTGAGAATTTGGTTGAAATCTCCCACAATAGCCCAAGGACATCAAGAGACAAGAGTAGAAGCATTAAGGAGAGCCAATTCCTCCCAAAGAGAAGACCTTTCTACGGCCAAGTTGTACGTGTAGACAAAGGAAACCGTGAGATTAATATTCTCAGCCATAACAGAGAAACCACATGTGACTGCCTGCGCTGAAGCTTGATAGAGTGTCATAATCACCGAAGGATGCCAGACAACGACAATTCTTGCAGTGCCATGATGAGTTGAGTTCTCAAAAAACTTCCAACCAATTAGAAGAGCATTAGATATCCGTCTTGAATTAATAGATTGTATGTGTGTTTCTAAACATGTACCAAAATGTGGCATGTGGGTTGTAATCCACTGCTTGACCGAAGTGTGGCGTTGGTTGTTATTCAGTCCTCGTACATTCCACGCAAAAAATATTATAAAATGTTGGATTAGTGTTTAGTAGCCTTGCGGCTACTCTTCATGTTCGATACCAGGAGAAAAGAATTAATGGAGAGACGTTCCTCTGACTGAGTGTGAGCTGAAGACAACTCATTCTCATCATGAAACACCACTACTTAAGCGTTGCAACCCATAGGACGATCAAGGCAAAAGACTGGGCTGGAAGCAGCTGCCTCATCTGCAACATATGAGTTTATCTTAGGCGTAGAAGGTTCTCCTGCTGAAGCTTTAACGATCTCTCCTGAGTGTTGAGATGGTAGCGGCTCACCAACTACATCAGGCTCAACAGCAGGCTCAACAACTACAACAGGCTCAACAACAATTGTATCTGAAGATGTTGCTTCCTTATTAAGATTCATGCTTGGTGAAGCAGTATCAATAATTGGGGGTAGTGACTTAGCACGAGAAGAATGCCGCTTAGATTTAGATACTCTGCTTCTTGAGCGTAGGCCAGTGCGGTGTGATAATGACGAACCTTTGTTTCCATCAATACTCCGCAAAACAATAGAACAAGGACAACGATCGACTTCATGCCCAAATTTGTCACAGTGTTAGCACTTCTTAGGAAGCCAAGGATAAGAAAATGCAATCTCAAACTCCTTGCATTAGAGAATCCTGAACAATTGTACTTGGGAGCTCAGCTAGGAGGTCAACTTTAACCCAAAGCTTAGCCATTTCAAAGTTTTCTTTCCTTTCAGTTTCATGGGCTAAAGAGACCGGTTTACCAATGGCTGTTGACAGTCTACTCAAACTCTACTTATTGAAAATGAGATAAGGCACTCCCCGCATCTTAACTGGGACGATCGCTGTAGTAAGCTGAGGTTCTTCATGAGAGAAGTCAGAGGACCAAGGCGCTACGAATACGGGGCTACCTACAATCATCCAAGCAGGTCAACTCAAGAGGATATGTTGTCCTCTCACTAGTGACCTTAAGGAGAAAACAGCCTTCACCAACTTTATGCACAAAGATTCTCGGTACTGAACAAGTCCAACTTGCGTTCACAACGCCTATAATACGTCCTTTTGACGGGATATCACCACGAAATCGAGCAAATATAAATTCTTTAAACTCTTCTTTTACCTCATTGATGTTTTTGTCAGGTATAAGAACAAAAGGGGCACCTGAGATATGAGTAGTAGGAATACCAAGTTCTTCCAACATAGCAGATTTTTGAACAATGTTAGAAAGCTTCTGAGGAGAGACTGGAATGGGTTCCCGAGGCGCAGGGCCAACAGGTGGTAAGCTCTCTTCTGGGAGCGATTTTGAAGTTAAGTTAATAACTTCTAATTGTGTGGAAAAAATAAATTTATAAATTAAAATACCAAAAAACTAAAAAAATTAAACCAAAACTGGAAAACCGAAATGTCACGAGCCGTTCAAAGCGAACACAATAAGTCACTGTCTTACAATTCTCGAGCCTCTCTCTCATTTGTTATTCGACCTTGAAAGTTGAAAGTAAAAAAAAAAAAAACATATCCCTTTCCTCAAGAAATCTACCAATACCAAGACCTTTTCTCATCTCCTCCATCCTCTTCGTTTATTTTAATTTTCTAATTCTAGGGTTAGGGCTCTTAATCGATTTCGCGAAAGATCTAAAATCTAGAAATGGGTGGAGAAGGAGATTCGAGTAAGCCGCTGACTTCCGTCGATGCCACCGGCGAAGGAGAAGGAGAAAGAGGATCTCTCGTGGCCGTCAACGTCAGATGCTCGAACGGATCCAAATTTAGCGTGAGCACGAGTCTCGATTCGACGGTGGAATCCTTCAAAGAGCTGGTTGCGCAGAACAGCGACGTCCCAGCGAATCAGCAGCGATTGATTTACAAAGGTCGCATCCTCAAAGACGATCAAACGCTTCTCAGCTATGGTAGGGCCCTTTCGTCTTCTCTCTTTGTAGATTTGTATTGTTCTGTTGATTTTAATTAATTGATGTGATGCTTTTTGTGTGGACAATAGGTTTGCAGGCTGATCACACCGTTCATATGGTTAAAGGCTTTGCGCCATCTTCCGCACCACCTCCTCCTTCTGCTCCTGTTACCACTGCACCTTCTGTTACTCAAGATAACTCCTCAAATCTGGGAGAATCTTTGTTCCCTGGGCTTGGATTCAACCCTCTAGGTGGTGGTGGTGGTGGTGGTAACGCTATGGCTGGGTTGTTTGGAGCCGGTCTTCCGGATCTTGAGCAGGCTCAGCAACAACTAGCTCAGAACCCTAACATGATTAGAGATATGATGAACACACCAGCCATCCAGAATCTTATGAACAACCCTGAGTTTATGAGGAGTATGATCATGAGTAACCCTCAGATGCGTGACCTTGTTGATCGCAACCCTGAGCTTGGCCATGTGCTTAATGATCCTAGCGTCCTTAGGCAGAGTCTGGAAGCTGCGAGAAACCCGGAGATAATGAGGGAGATGATGCGGAATACTGATAGGGCCATGAGTAATATTGAGTCTATGCCTGAAGGGTTTAACCATCTTAGGCGTATGTATGAGAATGTCCAGGAGCCGCTCATGAATGCTACTTCTATGTCCGGGAATGGTGGGAACAATGCGGCTTCTAATCCTTTTGCTGCTCTCCTTGGGAGCCAGGGGGTTACTACTACACAAGGTAGCGATGGTTCTAATAATTCTTCGACTCCTAGTGCTGAAACGGGGACAGGAAATGGTGTTCCCAATGCAAACCCGCTTCCTAATCCTTGGGGTGCTACTGCTGGTAAGAAACTGCGTTCTCATTGTCTTAATTGCATGTGTGGTTACTCGTCTTTTGAAGGATTCAATAATGTAGTATAACAGTAAGAGTGACTTGCTTATAAGAAACGGAAGTTTATGTTTTACCACACTGGTTCATATAGCTGTCACGAGTTGTTGTTAAGAGTAACGTTTATTGGGGTGTTTGTAAGTTAAGTTTTACTCGTAGTGCAATTAACACTATTGAACATATTGTGGGATACTTTACAGGCCAGACAAATGCCCCAGGAAGAACAAATTCTGGTGTGGATGCGAGAAGCACTGGACTTGGTGGTCTAGGAGGACTTGGTGGTCTTGGGGGCCTTGGTGGACTGGGTATGCTTGGAGCGGATTCACCTCTTGGTGCCACTCCAGATGCTTCTCAGTTGAGCCAGATATTGCAAAATCCAGCCATGTCCCAGATGATGCAAAGCATGCTTTCCAATCCACAATACGTGAACCAGGTAACGCCTAGACTAACCTATGCCTAAGACGATGTTACTATTGTGAACATGTCTATAATGTTTTCCACTTGGTTCCAGCTTATCAATCTCAACCCACAACTCCGAAGTATGCTTGATTCGAATCCTCAGTTGAGGGAAATGATGCAGAACCCAGATCTCCTTCGTCAATTTAGCTCCCCTGAGATGATGCAGGTCAGTTGGGAATGTTGAACATGTGGTCTCTCCAAAGAATCATCTCTGTATCATTAAGCTATTAACGAATGTGAAGTTTCTTTAATCTAATGCCATAGATTGTTTTTTTTTTGGTCTTTAGCAAATGATGACTCTACAACAAATACTTTCGCCTCAGAATAGGAATACGACCAGCCAGTAAGTGTGGATATCCTTTATATATATATATCTTAATTGTATTTTGTGCTATATTGTGTTTAGACAACGAAAATATTGGCGTGAATGATCTTTATCTTAAGCAATATATGGATATTCAACCATGAGTAATGCAGCAACTCTTGTATTTTTACTGGGCTTATCGTTGCTAACTTTTATTAAGGGCTGTGAAGCATTATAATTGTTGAAATAAGCTAACAGGGTGTTCTTTTTTATTTATTTCCATCAATCCCTATTTCAAGTTCCTAATTCATCTGCTCTGCAGGGAACCAGGGCAAACTGGTGGTGCTGTCGCAGGTACTCGTAAAATTACATGTATCTCAAATATAACAAAAGCTTAAGTTGTTTCTGTTATATTCACCTCTTTGCGCTCTTTGATTCAATCCATATTTTATTCTAGCACATGTATATATATTCACATGTAACTTATTGAGTAAATCATTACGATCGAAATGTTTATAGGAGCAGGCGGCAATAACGGAGGAGGGCTGGATTTATTGATGAATCTATTTGGCGGTCTTGGTACTGGCGGCCTGAGTGGCACAAACCAACCCAATGGTTAGATTTCACTGGGATTATACTCTTTTGTTATTCATATGTAGATGTTGAGATTGGTTCCATTGAAACATTTCATCATGTTTGATTCCCAGTTCCTCCTGAGGAACGCTTTGCGACACAGTTGCAGCAGCTACAAGAAATGGGATTTATTGACACAGCAGAGAACATAAGGGCTTTGCTTGCAACCAATGGAAATGTTAACGCTGCTGTAGAACGACTCTTGGGCAGTATTGGCCAGTAGCAGCAGCAGCAGGTTCGTGTACTGATTCATTGTCTCATCAATAATGTTTCAGCAATGATGATACTTATGAAATACGCACTGATATACTTAATACTTTATATATATGGTAGGATCTTGAAACTTGTGGATAGAAAAAGCCGCGTCAATACGGTATTGGTGGTCATCGTCTCTCTTCACCCATCATCTCCCCAAAACCTTTTTTTAATATATTTTGGGTCTTGGTCGTTTTATCTCAGATTTTATTTGAAGTTGTTACAACACAGTACATCTGTAAGACCTGGTTTGGCAACTTGGAATGGCTACTACGTTTTACGTTTTCCTAAAAGATTTTCGTTCTGATGTGGTGTTGTTCATCGTTAAGAGATTTCAAATAGGTTTTTTTGTTTGATGCACTTTTAGGATAAGTATCGAGGATAAGTCAAAACTGAAACTGAACCGAACAACAAAAAGATTTTTTTTCGCTCGGCTTGATTACTTCCTGTGTTAATATGATAAATGAAAAATATCATTATCTATTTGTTCGAACTCTTAAAAATTAACGTTAGTTTTTGTTGTTTTTTGCAATGCACTGATTGCTTTAGCAATATTACATTGTGTTTATACATTACTAGTATCAGGACATCATTATCGGTGGTCCCTTAGCGTTGTCTCTTAGCGAAAAAGTCATTTAGTTTTTAACTAAAGACGCTAAGGGACATCCGTAAATAAGATTCGATGGTCCTTAGCGTTGTCCCTTAGCGGAAAAATTATTTAGTTTTTAACTAAAAACGTTAAGTGACATCTGTAAAGTTTCTTATTTATGTTCTCTTAGTGGAAAAGTTTCTTAGTTTTTAACTAAAAACGTTAAGGGACAACGCTATGGGACCACCGATAACGTTGCTCTTATATCTCTAGCACGGGCAATGGATTATGATTTTCAATGGAAAAAAATATTATTTTATGAAATTATATAATTTATGAATTAAATAAATATTATTTTGAAGGTTATATTTATTGGTAAATTTTAAAATAAAAATAAAAGCTTGTTATTTATATCTCCAGTACGTTATATATTAATAGATTTCCTAAACCCAAATAAAATCATTTATCTATACTATTATATAAGAAGTAAATTTGCTTAGTTGTCAACTTCTCATTGATTTTAGGTAAATTTGTTTATTTACCTTATTTAAATAATTTTATATAGAATTTCTTGTTTAATAAAAACGAACTTATATTAATAATATTATATTTTAGAAACTATGTTAATTATTTTGTATTAAATTGTTATCTTAAAAATATATTTTTCTATTATAAAATTCAAGGAAATTACTGATTGATTTTAACTTCACCATTATTTTTGTAATTTTTCTTATTTGTTATATTTTAATAATTTTATGAATAATTTAGCATATAATAAAACGAATTTCTATTAATAATATTCTACTTTTAGAAAATAAGAGAATTCTTATGTATTATATTGTTATCTTTAAAATATATTTTTATCATATAAATTAAAATTGAGTTAAAATATTAATAGTTAAATATATAAAGAAAGCAATGTATTACGGTGAGACTCTATTACTCCCTTTCTCTAAATAAATATATTTCAGAAAGTTGGAATTGATTTAATTCCTTCTGCAAATGATATTGACATATTTTGGAGAGTATGGGAATTTTCAGTTTCACTAACCTGGAATTTAATCTTCATCATCCAGTTTTGTAGTACGCATATCAATCATCTTATTGGTGTTTCTCTTGTTCTCATTTCATCCAAAGATATATATTTCAAAGATTATTGTTGTGCTATCGTTGGCCAGTGTGATAGTTAGTTAACTGATGATTGATTATATAGGCAATGAAGCTATTTGGATCGTGCCATGAAATTAGGAGTAGTGGAGTTCTTTAATGTTTATTTTCGTTTACAATTCTTTGATTTTGTATTTGGCTCATTTTTTTCTATTAAATGGATAATTAGATTTAGACTTTATATTTTCTTTTTGAAAAATATTCCACATGGCAGGATTTGTTTCGTTAGGCGACTTGCGCTTTAGTATATAAAAGATTAGGTGATTCTCCTCTGTTTTATACACGGAAATTAACATTTATTAAATGACTAAATTATAATAATTTGTGATATTTTTGTTTTTTTTGTTTATAAGTTTTAAATAAATCTGTAATTAACATGTATGATAAATAAATAAAATTGTATTAAATGTTATTATGTTCTCATTTTAATTAGATAAGTGATTTCAATTATAACATTTTAGATCGGGTCAGTTATATATTTTGGATATATTGAATTGAATATATATTCTCTGGTAACATAAGTTTTTTTAAAACTAAGTTAAAATTAGATTATTCTTTTCTTAATTTTAAATAATTCAGTTCATCTTATTATATTTGTAAATATATTTTATAAAATTTTGTATAATTTTCATATATGTTATATTGAGAAAATTGGGAACAAAAATACAAAATCAGGATTTTATTTATAACATAACTTTCAGTACTTTGAAAATTCATGCACATATGAAATAAATAAATTATAATAACTGGTTTATTTGATTGTTCTATTTTTATCAGTTTGGTTATTCTTATTTTGGAATGTTTTCTCAATTCTTTCGAAATGAATCATATTTTTTGTGTAATTAGAATAAAATAAGAACAATGTTATTAATTAGATTTGTTTTCTTCTTAGGTTGATAAATATATTTTGTAAAATTATGTATAATTTTATATGCAATGTTTTCAACAAAATTAAATAAATCAGTATTGATGGATTTAGGGTTGCATAAACAAACCGACCAATTCACTATTACTTTACAAATCTGTCGATTAGTTAAAGTTTAAGAAAGTAACTATTACAAAAACACATATAAGTTTGTTTTCATCAATTTGGTCATATTCAATTCGGATACAGTAATAACAATAAGTATAATTTTAAACTTATTTATTCATTTTAATTTATTTATTACATAATTTTTTATTAAGATCTAATATCATATGATCAATTTTTGTTTTAAAAATTAATTATTCATTAAAAATAACCATAGTAAGAATTAGTATTTTATATATTTTTATTTATCCTGACATTTTAAATATTTAATTGGATTTAATATTAATAAGATATACATATCTTTGAGAAATATGATATTAATTGATAAGTTTACGTTTTTTTAATTTGTTTCTTTTTAATCATTTACAAAAATAAATTCATTATACAAATCTTTGCAAATATCATGCTAACTGATCAGTTCATGCTAACCTTTTTGAATAAATAATATTTAAAATTATTTATTTTGTCAATTTTGTTTTGAAGTTATGTTCTCTCTCTCTCTATATATATATGTCTATATATTTTAAAAATTTACAGATATTTCATTTTATTTATGTTGTTTTTGAAACAAAAAAAAACTAAAAATAAAATTTGTTTACATATATATATATATGTATATATATGCATGTCTATATTTTAAAATTATTTTCCTTTTTAGGTTTGTAAAAAAGAAGATTTAAATTTAAAATTAAAATTAGCTTTATTAAGAAAAAAAAACAAAATGTAATAAATGTTATTAATGGAAATTTGGTATAATTTTTAGTAGAAAAATTGAAATATCAATAATGGTAATTATAATAATTAATTCAGTTCATTAAGGATATAAATGTAATAAACTATCGTGAGAATTAACGTGAGGTGACATGTACAAAAAATCATTCCCAAATAATGTTATAGAGATAATGTGCTGGAACTTTGATAATATTTTTATTTTTCTCTTCATACATTTAATCTCTGAATGCAAAGAAGGTTAATCGAATTCGACGATATGAAATTTTACTTTATGTTATGTTACCTGAATCAACAAAAATTTATTTTCCATGAAGTAGAGATGAAATCACAATCTTTGAATCATATGCCTTGTTTCGCCATGTATGTATAAAAACTTATGTTGAAATTACAAATCACAAAATATGTTCATGGTAGGATGTTGCATTCATAAGTCTCAATATTTTTAATTAACCACTTTCAATTCGTGTACCATCAAGAGATTCAATTCAACCATTAAAAACTATAATGATTTTTATAAGAAAATATAATGGAGTTCACATGTTGAAGTTCATGTTCTTCAGGTTTTATAATATCTTGAGAGATAGAACAAACCCATCCCAAAATTTATGTTCACTGTCTCTTTATTACGTTGATATTGTGTTGGCAGTGTTGCGATTGTTCGTGTAACTTCATCATGCGAAAATGTCTTAAGAAACATCACAACAACTTCGTGCAATCTACATTCTCTTATTTCTTGTAGGCCATTATTATTCTTCAGACAACTGCATAAGTGTTGAAAAGTTTTTTTTGATGTATTCAGAAAGCCTCATAACATTTTTAATCATGGCCAGTTATCACTTGCTTCGTATGATGTCATCCATGACTTCGATCGATTCTCATTAATTTTCTATCACAATTTGGATCCAAGCATTCACTCTTGAATCAAACACAAACTGTGAGGAAACACAAACACTATCCACGTAAGAAGTTCATATTTATCTAGCCAGTTTTCTCCTATGCAAGTGACTATGATATTCAGTCGTACAAAGTAGTTATCTCTCGTTTCCACAAAGAATATTCAAAAGAGTTGTTTTTTGCATGAATAACATTTGATGAACACTAGGTTTTAAAAAACCCGCAAGATGTAGCTTTCCAACTGGTTTACCACATCGTAAGTGAATCTCGTTAATGCGGTCATCGGATATGCGGATAACGCTGCACATATGTTTCGTACTTGGGCCTTCCATTAGCAATCTGCAATACCTCCAAGAATCATCATATTCAGTGTTTAATGAAGTAAAGGTTAAGTGATAGGCCATGGTTTTTACCCATTATTATTCATGGTATGTAAGTGTTTTAGGATATATTTACTACGATATAGAGTCTATTTAGAGTGTTTACATATTTAGGGAAGATTTGGAGAAAAGTGGCGATTTTGGTGTATTTTGGAGCTTTGGATAGAGACCTTGCCATGGTGCGATTGAACACATCTTTTTCACAAGATAGAGATTTTAGTTAGCTTTCCAATTCTACCCGTTTGAGGTCAATCCAACGGTTAGATCAGAAGTTATGCCCATTTTACTGAAGAGTGGTCAGTCTGCCTCGCGAGAGAAAGATGTCGAGGAGATGAAGGACTGTCGATCGACGACACAGCCTTGGTGTCGACCGACAGTGATGCCAGAACGTGGACCGGGTGTATTTCGTGACCAACTTAAGACAAGAAGCCAACACAAATTATCAAGATACCCTTGGACGACTTGAAACCCTATTTATGTGTGTTTCTAAGCCATTGTTGACGGCTAAGCTTTATTCTGTTATTATTCTTAGTTTTAGGAGAGAAGGGAGGAACTCCTCCAGAGTCCTCCAGGAACTCCTTTGGTTTTCTATTGATTTCTATATTTCTTTTTATTCTATTCATCTATGATTTCTGTGACAAACTTCATGTTTGAATAGATCCACCTGATAGATTTGGGGTTCAGATAGG